GTCATACTCAACCTACGATACTCATCGATGTCATTACATGTCAAACACAACACCCACTATATAACCTAGGTGGCGATCTCCCAACCAACCTCAACACCACAGAAGTCAATTGTGCTAATCGCATTGACAAACTCTCAGAACGACACAACCAACACAGAGGCATTAATCACATACACTAGTGTGAATAATAACTATAAATCTATCTATAAAATATAGACCTTATTAGATAATCATCTTAGATAAGATTTATAGCAATATATGTCTATAACAACCCAAACCCCTAAGCACAGAGCAAAAATCCAGGACAACAATTGAAAATATTTGTAAAGCAAGTTTTTTACAAAGCCATGGGCGATAAATATACACGAGTTCAAAGTAAATACATTACAAAACCCAACAAATAAAAATTACAAAAAGAAGAAGATAAATGAACCACAAATCTCTTGGTTTGTCATTGTCGATCAAAGAGCAGTCCACCCCGGATCATCCGTATGCAAGCTTCATATTTGTTTCTAATCTAATCCTAAATAAAAATGAGGGCTGGTGAATTTGGGAGCTAAAACTATCCCCAAATCCATAACCCTAACAAATGAAATGAAATAAAAATAAATACAAAATTATGTCCCACAATGCTCGCCTGGCGAGCTAAACCCGTCTCTCAGCGACACTCTTATTTTACACGACCCAACCTGTGCCTTGTATGCCACTGGTGAAAAATATCTACTCTCGTCTGACGAATGGAAGCTTCGCCAATTTACATTACGCTTCCACGCCCAGAGAGCTCCTAGCTAGCCCAAGTCAGTGGCTACTGGAAAGTTGATCCATTTTATTCGCGCATTCATTGCCCAGCAACTCACAGGCGATGGCCTCTCACCCTATTATCGCCCGGTGACGCACACTAGAACACTAACTTGTGTTGCTTTCTCTGAACAACTGCAATGGATTTTCTTCTTTTAACTTATTCCTTTATTGATCAAATGCTCATCTTGGAGCTCCATTTGTAATTTATTCTCAATGTTGCAATAATTCTTGAATACCTACAAAAATGAATACAAAACTATCAAACGATACACTATGTACATGAAATTGCAAATATACACAAACTAAATGTATTTACACAAAATTCAGGTTTATTCATTTTATATTAATAACAAATGGTCAATAAATGCAACAAAAATTATATACAAAAATAGCTACAATTTGCACTTATTAGTGGAGCATTACGCTAAAAGAATTCAAACATGAATTGAAGCATAATCCATATTCAAAGTCTTTTTTAGCCACCCTTTCTTCCCCAGTTAGGCTGTTGGAACCTCTCCAAAGAGAACCATATCCTTCAGATACCCCAAGTGGTATTCCTCACAGGTTTTCCTCAAACTATATCTTCTTGTTGTTGCTATCGGTAAGCATTATTGACCTTATGTCATTCTATTCCCACAAATCCATGATCAGATTTATAAACCTCGTGTATTCCTTTTAGAAAACTCTTGTGGCAGTATTTTTACCCGTATTTACCTTTGCAGTTATAGTGCGAGTCAGAGTTGGTGTATAATCTGTTTTTCTTTTCAATTTTTTGAACACCCATACTTTGTTTGTGGCAATTTAGATAATCGCCACTCTTGAAGAATTACACCCCGCTTCGGCCTGTGGGATAATGTCGTTCTTTTTCTTCGTGCAGATAACCAAGCTCCGTTATTGCTTACCTTTTGTAAGTCAGTCCCCTCTGCCTTTTGCGCGAGGGATATATCCCCAGTATTGTCCAGTGGTTACTGGCACCTTTTTCAAAATCCAATGGTTATTGGTACCTCCAGCAAAGTCCAATAGTTATTGGAATTCCTTCAAAGTCTAGTTGTTACTGGTATCCCTTGCAAAGTCAAGTGGGTACTGACATTTTCTTCAAAGTTCAGTGGTTACTTGAGTTCATCTCTCTTTTCAAGCCTAGTGGTTACTGGAATTCCTTTTGAAAACCAATCTTAGTTGGTGCACACTTAAAATCTTTCTTACCTTTTGTGAGCCCCCTAATTTTCCTTACGTATGAGGGATTTATTTCATTTCCGACCATTGAGTCGTGAGTTTCCAACCCCCGAGTTTTGAGTTTATTTTACTTTCTGACCCTCGAGTCATGAATTTCCAACCCCTAGTTGTGAGTTTCCAATCTTCTATTTCTTTTCCAACCCCTGAGTCGTGAGTTTCCAACCCCCAAGTTGTGAGTTTCCAATATATTTCTTTATTTCTTTTCCGACCCCCGAGTCATGAGTCTCCAACCTCTGAGTTATGATATGTTTCATTTCTCTCCAATCTCTGAGTCGTGAGTTTCCAACCCCTGAGTTATGAATTATTTGTTTCTTATCTGATCCTCGAGTCATGAGTTTCCAAGCCCGAGTTGTGAATTTTTAATATATATTTGGGTTTCTTTTCTGACCCCCAATTCACAAGCTTCCAACCTTTTGTTTCGTTTCCAACCCTCAAGTTGTGAATTATTTATTTCTTTTCTGACCCATGAGTCGTGAGTTCCCAATTATTTTTTTATTCTCCGATCCCCAAGTCTTGAGTTTCCAACCCCTGAGTTGTAATTGTGCCTTTCGGACCCCCAAGTCTAGAGTTTCCAACCTTGAGTCGTGAGTTTCCAACCCCCTAAGTTGTGTGTTGTTTCTTTTTTGACCCTCGAGTCATGAGCTTCTAACTCATGATTTGTTGATGTTTATCATTTACCCCCCAAAGATTTTTTTCAGCATCCAGTCGTCAGTGTTGTGTATGTGGCTCTTGTGGAACCTGTAAGATTTGTGTTTATGCGTTTCGTGCTTGGACAGTGTTTGGCGGGGAAAGTGTACCCTGACTTGCTTGAATTTTGAATTAGCGCATTCTGTCAGAATATGCTGACGAGAGGCATTGAGGGGGTTGTAGTCGTGAAAACGACCAGCTGGGCCCCTAATAAGTGCAAATTGTAGTTATTTTTGTATATACTTTTTGTTGCACTCGTCGACTTTTTGTTGTTAATATTGTTGAATAAACCTGACTTTTGTGTAAATACATTTATTTTATGTTTATTTGTGTTTTTGGGTGCATAGTGTAGCATTTTATGTTTTTCCATTCATTTTATAGGTATTGACGCATATTTGGAGCATGAGGAATAAAGTGTCGAAGACACGACTTTAAACGCGCGATTTTGAGCAACTCGTCAATGAATAAGGTTCAAAATCAAAGAATAAGAAATCATCAATTTGGTTTATATTTAGGGATTGTCATATATATAATTGAATAAGCTTTCCAACACTTTGAACCCGGCGTAAATTGGAGTTACGGTTTTCAACTTATGGCGAAAACAAACAACTGATTTTTTCTCTCATCAGATTAGAGCGCGTTTAGCGTGATTGTGACGCTTAGCACGGTCCCCTGGACAGAATTGCGTTAAAAGGGCCAAAATACACATTTTTAGGTTATGCTTCGGGGTATTTGTTCTCAACTTATCAAACCTTCATTTTTTGATAGATTAGCTTAGAAAACAACATTAAGGTCTTGCTTATGGATGATTGAAGGTGGATTTCTCTTCGACTGACATTGACAAACCGAAAGATTTGTGGTTTATCTCTTCAACCCTCTTTTTATTTATCTTTTGTTGGGTATTGTTTGTATATTTACTTTGAACATATGTATATTTGTTGATCATGGTGTTGTGTAAAGCTTGCTTTACAAACCAATATTGGTGTCTTCTTTGATCTTTTTGCTTTATGTTTGGATTTGGGTTGTTATTGACATATACGTCATAAATCTTGATTAGGGATGGGTAATGTCATACCCCATTTTCCCCCTAATCTGTTCATTCATGACATCACGTGCATTTACATCATAAATTTTTCATTCATTTGAGGTATTAAAAAATGGGCTCAAATGGCTCTTGATGTTAGGGTTTTCCCCTAATGAATTGAGGTTACTATCTCTCTCAAGTTGATTCCACCGTTTCATTTATCTATCTTGGTATGAAACCAAAGTTTTGGATCCACAAGCATCATAAGCATTTTCCTTGGCAAGGTTCCTCGAGATACAAGTTTTTCTTCATCTGAATTTCTTCAAGAAACCAGTGCATTAGGATTTGACTTGTGTACTCAAGAATTTATCATGAATTCAATGTGAATGTCTTTGAGCTAGGTTTTATTCCTCTCGGTGTCTCGAGCTTTCTTCATCAATGTACACTCAGAGAAAATGCATTAGGGTTTCTCCTATCTTGCTTGAGCATTGATAATGATTCTTCAACAAAGTTCATCAGGCTAGGGTTTACATCTTATCATGCTGGAGTTTGCCAACATTTCAATTGAAATTCATTGGATTTCATACTTCAAGACCTATCATTCATCTTTAAGTCGTTTCTCAAGACATTGATTTTGTTTCAAGATTAATGGTTATCAAGCTAGGACGGTTTTATGGATTAAATTGCGAAACATGAATCATGGTACAAGAATGAAGTTGTGAATATTTGTGATCAAGGCATTATTATCTCACTTGAAGTATTTGTTTGTTTCAAACCAAGATACATTCGCCATTTCAAAGTTTCATCCATGTTTAGCATGTTTAAAAATCCAACAATCAAAAGGTATTACAAAGTTAAATCAAAGTAGCATGTGGGGTCTCAAGGTAAGGATGGAGATAATCTAAAGAGTGGAATTGTTGTAGACCGAGCCATAGTTGCCTTATTTTTCAATGGCATGCGCTACATGTGTTGTTTATAGATTCACATGATTCAAAAGAAATTCACAATTCGAAATCCGAAAGACCAATTATTCATATATTTCAATTCTTCCTATTCAAGATTCATTCAATAGTAGTTCAAGCTTCAAATTTCTATGCAATTCAAAGTTTCAAAAATACAAAAATATTCATCATTCTAAATTTAAGATCAAACATCCATTCAATGTTTTTTTACATATCCAAATTACATTTAAGCTTCACAAATCCAAATAGGGTGTCAATTTTTCTTAGCCTAACTGTCACTCTCATACCATAAGTCATCTTCTTTCTTTCAAATGGCCAATGCCTACACCATGAAGTAACAACACAAAGAGCCCCGCACTGCATCGCTGGAAACCGCAGCCTACAATGTAAGAGAAAAACTGTCCAAAATTGCCATTATTTTTTCTTGTGCCATGTTGAACCAAAACATCTCCAAAGTGGTTGCAATTTTGTTCAAAAAATCTTCTTGAAATCAGCTCTACATAAGTTTTTATGGCAGCAGGAAATCAGAAAAAGTATTATATCTAAAGAAAGTAAACAAAGCAGAAGGAAGATGGAAAGCAAATATCCAAACCTGCTAAAAATGCAACCCTGCATTGTTTCAAAACCACTCCAAAAAATAAGTAAATAATAAAAGCTGGTGCAGAACCATGGGCTAGCATTGGTTCAAGAAGAAGAAATCAGCCCTGCATTAAGTATTGTGACAGCAGGAAAATCAGAAAAAATATTATATCTACAAAAAATACCGAAAGCAGAAAGTGCAGAGGAAAATAAGTATGGAATTAAAAATACAGAAGGAGAATTTCATAGCAAGCTTGATGTCAAATGTTATAGCTCAGCAGTTTAAAAAACTTCTCCAACAAGCTTCATAACAGAATTGGAAATGAGAAATGAGATTCAATCCCAACCATTCATTTGTTATAACAGATTTTTAAAATCAAGGGATGAGATGTTTTTTACCTATAGAAAACTTCTCGGAGAAGCTAAGCCAACAGTTATAAATATGAGCTTCTGTTTCAATCTGGAGAGGAGAAGAAAAACATGATTGATTTCTGCACAAAAAAACTTCTGTGAAGCAGTAAAATTCCTCTACAATTTCATGCCCAAAACTTGATCTCAGAAAGCTTCCTCTGCGGAATTCCTTTACAGTTTCTCTGCGACTCCAATCTTCATCTCACAACAGCATCAATATTCATCAATCATCATCATTACTGCAATATCATCTTCATCTTCCTCGCATACACATCATACAACAACACCTCTGCTTCAGCATATTCATCACAGTTTCGCAAGTACAACAACGAATGCTTGAGAAGTAATCAAAATGGAATCAGAGAAGAAAAGAAAACGAATTCAAAATACGCATACCTGAGTCGCTGTTCTCCAGTTTTCTATTCGTTTTCATCAAGCTTGAAGAGCCACCCGAGTTCTCCGGTAGGTAAGCCTTACATTACTTATTGTTTCTGCATCCCTGTGTGTTAAGATCAGTAGCGTATAGTGTTTTTGTTTCCTTCCATTTCGGATTTCATCGTGAACGAACCGAGAACGTGTTGACTGTTGAGCGCAATGGTTGGAAGTTGGATGTGGATGAGTGCAGGAGATGAAGCTGATGAAGCAGAAAACGAACTTTGATGTTGAGCGAAGGCGAGGTTAAAGAGCTTTGAGTGAGCCTCATTTGAGTTGAGCGAATCAGAGATGAACATTGGAAGAAGAGAAATGACACGATGATAATGTGATTGAAGCGAGGTCCGCGATTGGAGACGAAGACGTATCAGAAGAGTCGAATCGAAGATAGTGTTCGAAGAAGATGAGATGTAGCACGAAGAATCGACGCCGAAGATAAGCGACGATGCATATCGAGTTGATGCTGTCGATGGTGGACTATTGATCTTGTCGAAGCGAGCGGTGATAGAGTGAAGTCGAATCATAGATTGAAGGTGATGACCACGGTGAAATAGAGACTTGAATCTGAGATGAGGTTGAGCGTCGAAGTTGCGACGTCGGAGAGAGAGGAAGGTAGTGTCGTTCATGGATGGAAGAAGGGAAAGCTGAGAGTTGTTTGCGATGAAGATGAGAACCCTATCCCTCTCAAAACGGCAACGTTCAACTATTCTTTTTAATTTTTTTACTAGATAAAAATTGAAATAAAATAAATACTGGAATTAAAAAAAATGGAAATTGGATTGAGGTTATTTTTGTTTTGGACCGGAATTAAAATTCTTTGGGCCTATATTGAAATTTTGCGCACAACAAGCCCATAGCATTTTTTTAGCACATCTATTTTCTGAACAAAAACTCTTAATTGGGCCTCATTTTTTAACCTCCCTTAAGCCCATACTGCCATTTTTTTTTGGAGCTTGTTACAAAAACTTGTGTTGGACCCTTCAGCATGGGCCTAGTGTCCCATTTGGTTGCAAGACATCCAAGCCAAACTTTATACCTCCCTCTATTTTCTATTCTTTTATGTTTTTTTTAAATCTATTTTCTTTTATTGTTTTTTTTAGATATTAAGATGATAAAAAAATAAAAAAATAATAAAAAGATATATATATATATATATATATATATATATATATATATATATATATATATATATATATATATATATATATATATATACTTTAGATTTTTTTAGAAGTGTTTTAATTAGTTTTTACTCTTATATTTCATCATTTTTTTTATCTCTTTTTAAATCAAATTTACACATCATGTCTTATGTGTTTTGTTTGTGTAAAATTGACCAAATAAAATACTCCAACTCATTCAAATCATTTTGTGCTCTTTGTGCACTTTTCTCTTTTAAAAATCTTTTCGCCAAAAGATTAGACTCTTGTCAACCCTTGTAGTGATGCAAACAACTATACTTTTACAATATATAGTGAAGTGAGATATTTTCCACTTGGGTGTTGAGTGAGGCATTGTTGATTTTAAAATCCAAGCCATATCCTCCACTTTGAGATGATACAAATTCTCCTTTCTCATGATTGTGGGTAGTAAGTATGTTTTCCACACGGACAATGACGGTGATGTCTTATCTCATAAAATTAACCAACACACATGTGTTTAAAAAAATTTAAAAGAGGAACTACGAGTTTTTTGATTCCTCCTGGGATACGTAGGCGCTGGATTGAAGATCCGGGCGAACGCAATAATAAAAAAAAACTTTCTTTTTCCCCAAATTGATTCATTCATGCAAATAACTTTTTTTAATAGTCGACATACACAAATTTACGAAGAGGTTCCTGCGGAGTACCATAGATGTTTAGGGTGCTAATACCTTCCCTTTGCATAACCAACCCCCTTACCTTGAATCTTTCCCCCTCTTTTTGGGTTATTCGCTCTTTTCTCATTTCTTTGGAAACAATAAAGCACGGTGGCCATTTTTTATTTTTGATTTGTATGAAGACTAGTCAATCCAATGGCTTAGTCTTGAACATTTCTACCGCTATAGGTATCTATTAGTTTCTAAATTCTAGAGATATACTTAGAGCTAATATTCACTTTGGGTTCTAAAGCTTAATGCCTCTGTGTTGTTGTAGCACGCAAGACATTGATGATAAAGTAATACGATTGGTCTCGCAACTTGGCGGTAGACATAACCTTCGTTGTGGGTACATCTCATGTTGTCCGTGATGATTTTGATGATTACAGTAGGTTAAGTGCAACTGATCGATAAATTTAAGTTCGTGACAAGTAGTGTACATTTATACCAGATAAGTTGTCAATCCTTTATAGTTTTTGTTTAACTTTATTTTTTGTTGATACATTTTCCATACAACCCATTCCACCCCCTAACTCATTAACGATAGATTTGTCAAACGAAAATTCAATAACCAATCTCTGTGGATACGAAACGATATAACCTATATCACTCGGTAAATTAAGAACCTACTTTTTGCTTGCCGCTATACCACATCAACAAAATGGTGTTGTGCCGCTTAACGCACTTTCTTGTGCTGCGCAAGTGAAGTTTTTTTTAGTGTTCACTTGGCGGTCCTTTTTCCCACTTTCACCAAGACTTTAATCGTAAATAGTATAAATATAATTACTTCTTTTGTTGTTGTTTGGACTCAAATTTTCTTTCGATAGCTTGAATCAGCTTTTGGTGATTTTCCAAGTTTATGTATTTCAATTTGCAAAGGCATGGTAATGATTTTGTTAAAGTTTTGTACACGTTCAAAGTATGTGTTTATCGCTTTGTATACTTTAACATATTTATTATACTTAGAATTTATACAATTTTTATGTCATTCATTCTTTTGTATAATTTTTCATTTGTGAATTACTTTAGTTCCTACCCTTTTTGTGAGGTCGTTTTCCATTGTTCACATATGCTGGAGACACCACAACTCTTATTTTAAATGGATTATATTGTCCTTAATCTTTTGTTTGTATTAATTTTGTGAAATCTTTAACATGATCACGACATTTTTTTGTTCCATTTTTAGCACAACTACCCCTTGGCCAAATAGTCAATTCACCTTGTGAGTGTGTGAACTTTTGCTAACCCCTTTTCATCCTTTTTATCGATATCCATGTTGTTTTTTCTAAATACTTGTTTATGATTGTTTGGTTAATTTTTGAATGGATAGTGATTCTTTGTTTTCTTGAACCTTTAACTATAAGTTATAGTTTGAATTTTTTTTCCTTGCCTTAGAAAGTAGGGAGTATTCACATTATGATATGGTTGAATTCAAGTAGATATTTGTTTTCTCACTTATGTTGTAGATTTCTATGAGGTTGTAAAAGAAAGAAAAAGAAAAAAAAACTGAAAAGAAAAAGAAGGAAAAAAATGAAGAGAAAAGCTTTGACAAAGAAAAACAAAAAGAGTTCGAATAATAGTGCTAATAAGTGATGTGTGTTGGTTCAAAATTTGGAATGAAGAAGAAGATTGGTTGAAATTATTTTGCTTGAGTCTTTGTGAGTTGATCACTCCCTTAGGTTTAGGGAAGTTTTTGTTTAAATTAGCTTTAGGATTTATCCCTTATTTGTTAACCAAGCCACATTACAACCTTGAAAATCCCTCGAGATTCTTGCCTTTTTATTTTTAATATGAGATTTTGGATGAATGCTAATTTAATCTTTTGCTTGCAAGATTGTGGATGAGTGAAAATACCTTATTTTGTGTGTTTTTCATCTACTGATGATTGATTTTGCTAGATCTGATTCATTCGTGAACTAGTATTGTTTTAGAATATTTGGCATGTTCTTTGTATTTAGTATTTGTTTCATGTTTATGTTATCATCGTAGTTTAGTGGTAAGTATGTTTCTTCGTGTGAAACGTTTTTCATTTGAGTCATTGCATTTGTTTTTCATGTTCAAAACTTATTGATTTATGATTCTTTGGTTTATTACTTTTGGTTCTTTAAGTTGTTTTTCTTTGTTTGAGGAAAAACAAGTTCATGTTGTGGAGAGTTTGATAAGTGCAAATTGTAGTTATTTTTGTTTATACATTTTGTTGCACTTATCGACTTTTTGTTGTTAATATTATTGAATAAACCCGACTTTTGTGTAAATACGTTTAGTTTGTGTTTATTTGTGTTTTTATGTACATAGTGTACTGTTTGATATTTTTCCATTCATTTTATATGTATTGACGCGTATTTGGAGCATGAGCAATAAAGTGTGGAAGACACGGCTTCAAACGCGCAATTTTGAGCAACTCGTCAACGAATAAGGCTCAAAATAAAGAATAAGAAATCATAAATTTGGTTAATATTTAGGCATTGTTAGATAGGTAATTTAATAAGCTTTCCTACGCTTCAAACTGGGCATAAATCGGAGTTACGGTTCTCAAGTTATGGCGAAAACAAAAAGCTAATTTTTTTCTCATGACAGTAGAGCGTGCTATGGGGATTGTGCCGCTTAGCGCGGTCCCTTGGACAAAATTTCGTTAAAAGGGCCAAAATACACATTTTTTGGGTTATGTTTTTGGGTATTTGTTTCAAACTCATCAAACCTTCATTTTTTTATAGATTAACTTAGAAGACAACATTAGGGTCTTGCTTTTGGATGCTTAGAGGTGGATTTCTCTTCGACCGGCACTGACAAACTGACAAACTGGATTTCTCTTTTGTTGGGTATTGTTTGTATATATACTTTGAAAATATGTAAATATTTTATCATGATGTTGTATAAAGGTTACTTTACAAATCAATCTTGATGTCTTCTTTGATCTTTTTGCTTTATGTTTGGATGTGGGTTTTTATCGACAGATACCTCACAAATCTTTATTAGGGATGGATATCTATTAGTTTCAATATTCTAGAGATATATTTAAAGCTAATATTCACTTTGGGTGCTAAAGCTTAATGCCTCTGTGTTGTTGTACCGCGAAAGACATTGCCAATAGAGTAATATGGTTGGTCTCATGACTTGGCATACGACATAACTTTCATTGTGGGTACATCTTGTGGTGTCCGTGATGATTTTAACGAGTACAGTAGGTTAAGTGCAACTGATCGATAGATTTAACTTTGTGACGAGTAGAGTACATTCATACCAGATACTTTGTCTATCCTTTATAGTCTTTGTTTACATTTATTTTTTGTTGATACATTTTCCATACAACCCATTAAATCCCCTAACTCATTAACGATAGATTTGTCGAACGGAAAATCAATAACAAATCTCTATGGATACGATACGATATAACCGATATCACCCGGTAAATTAATAACTTACTTTTTGCTTGCCGCTATACCGTAGCAACAAAATGGCATCGGGCCGCTTAGCACGCTCTCCTGTGTTGCGTCAGTGATGTTTTTTTTAGTGTTCACTTGGCCATCCTTTTACCACTTTCACCAAGGCTTTAAATAGTAAATAGTATTAATATAATTACTTCTTTTGTTGTTGTTTGGACTCAAATTTTGGTTCGATAGCTTGAAGTCGATTTCGGTGATTTTCTAAGTTTGAGTGTTTCAACTTGCGAATGTGTGGTAATGATTTTGCTAAAGTTTTATATACTTTAAAGGTATGTGTTTATCGCTTTCTATACTTTAGCATATTCATGATAATTAGACTTTATAC